TGGTGGTGGTGGTGGTGGGTGGGGGGGAGGGGGGGGGGGGGGGGGGGGGGGGGGGCATAGAAACAATGCCCTTTTCTTATAAATTATTCCGAGAAGGCCAATTAAATGCAGAGATTAAGTGCAGTATCCAACGGTTGAAGCTGTAGCGCCATTTTTGGGGGAAAAAAATAGTTTTCGGTTTTGGGATTTTCTCTATAACCAAGACAGCTTTTCAAGTGATTCAAAAATCTTGGTGAAAGTACTACAGAAGATACCCCGAGGTGTAATTACTGGCAGCGCCGAGAATTAATTACAGCTTTGGAAGTAACTGGCTTGCGCTGCCCGTAATTACGCCGTGGGGTATTCAGGGCACAGACCGTTATCACAAGATACCGCAAATAGATATTTAGAAAATAGATTTTTTATGTGAACGCAGCCTTCAGTTGCATTTGAATGTTTTATGGGCTTTCCTCGTTAATCAAGAAATTTTACCCAGGAGCTACTTTCTCTGTTATCGGCAAAGTGATCAGATGAAATCACTTGTATTTGTCCAGAGAAAGTGGCTGTCACTTATGTCAATATGAATTTTTGACAGGTAACGATGTAGGATTGTTTTCTCGGCATTTGGTCATTGTCAGTTCAACATAAAAATCCAGTGATTACTTCAGAGTACTAGCTCTCGAAATAGCAGCAAAGATAAAAGAAAGGCGCTTTTGGCTAAAATGACAGGGTGTAGGTGAGTTTTGAAACCACGTGATGATTGCAAAAAAAGTCTATCTTTTCATATCTTTTGAAGTAGATTGCGTGTAATACCAGTTCACTCACCGTACTTTAGGCCAACATAAAGTTATTTATCAATTTATTTTATGACTAGGTCTGATGTGTTGAGGAACCACATGTGTTGTACAGGGGTATTTATATATTGTTTTTCTCCTGGTAGATCTTTCTTTGTCCAACTGAACAAAAAATGGTTTTCCCCACCTGCGGCGCATACTCTCTTTCAAAATTTTCTTTGTTTCCTCAGGAAATGTACTTTTAACACACACTTTACTCTTCCCCATGGCCTACTCGACTTCTTCACTGCTTAGCCGATGTAAGACTTATGACCTGTTACCACACAGGTAATCGGCTTATAACTCATTAATTTTGCTTTGCCCCCTCATGGCAACGGTCTTTACCAACTGAGGTGTGGCCCATTCGTCAGTCTGACTGGGGCGCATGCCAATTCAAAAACTCATCAAAAGACATTTTTCTGTGTAAACTAAAAAAAAAAATATTACATCCAATGTTAGATATTTTTTTGATTAATATAAATACACAAATAACTCAAAAACATAATTTTAAGGGCATTTTACCCTACTACACATCTGAAAGAAAAGATGCCCTAAACCCCGTTTACACTGGACGGTGACTTTTCTTTGTCCTTAAGTATGGGATAAAATAATTATAATACTTCACATGCTGACCACAGGCTGATGATTGAGCATTCATTTTGCAACCAAAGCGACGCTTGTGCCTCATTTCTACATTCGGTTATTTGTTATAATCTCTTAAGAAATTATTATAGAGGTTAGTCATCTATGGAGGTGATGTGGTCCAGTGGCAAGCAAAGATTCCAGAATAATTGTGATAACAGCCGTTTGGTGGTTGAAAAGATTTATTATATTTCTATAAGTGGTTAACAATGTATTCATTGTGAAATATGAATCTCACATGAAGAGATGTTATCCTTTAAAAAAAAGACAGGAGGTAGTAAATAATAGCTAATCTTTAAATTTCTGCTATTTATTCAAAGGTAATCTATATGAATCATTTCTTAACCAGTCCCTGTATTAGGATTTGATATTTTATTCAATTTTTGATTTCACAGTTTTGTTCTAAATGGCAAGCCAGTGATTTACAGCATCTACCTTCCTTGCTGGCACATCCACAATGTACACACCAAGCATGGCTTTGTTTTCACTGTATGGCACTGTGAACTACTGAGTATTGACACTGTTTATTTGAACAAAGAAATAGACACTATCTCTTTGATTTGAATGACAGAAAAATTCATAGAAAGGGGCAGAGGATGGGGTTTGGGTGAGGTTGAGAATTCCTTCTTCAAGACTGGATATTTACCTTGTTATGCTTTAGCTTTTTTTCAGTTGATTAGCAATAATACCATAGTATATGTAAGTATAAAAGCATATAAAGAATATATTCAAGGGAACATTCAATCTTGGACCTATTTAGGTCCAAGATTCAATCAAGCATTTTTTTCCAGTGGTGTTTTTAAAATTATTTAACTCTAAGAATATTAAATGTTATGTTATGTCTAATTCACGTGGCAAAAAACTCCCCCACGCATCCAGCTGTGAAGACTGCATGACGTGCCTGGAAAAAGTGATGGGAGTAACCCCCCCCTCCCCTTTCATCCACCCAACCCTGCCCGTTGTTCCTTCAACACTATCGTTTGCTGGTTCATATCCCGGGTTTCTCTACAGCGAAACAGTTAACGCGGTCTGCAACATTTCGGGGAGAGATAGGTGAAAATCTATTCTGCCAATGTCTGCAAAGATAAAAGTCGCAAAACGGAAGAATTTGATTCGTTTTTTTAGTCCTTTAAAAAGTTTTCAATATTCTGTGCTTTTAAGTGGTTCCAAAAGTCCCAAATATTTTGCTGATATCTTGACAATTTTTATCTTGCGTGCTTCCCCTAACATCTGTCCTTACCTAAAAATCAAGGGGTCCAATAAAATATTCGTCCTGATAGATACGTCTCTATACATACACGTCTCAATAGATTTACGTCTCTTTAAATTTACGTTCCGATAGATCCACCAACAGATTCCTATAAACCCACATATCTTTAGATCCAGGTACCGCTAGATCCATCTATCTGACATCGTAATCGGCTAAAATGCCGATATCTACATTGAGATACAGGTATGAGGCTTTCGAGTGATACTGTAGTCTGGCTGTGAGTACTGACCCACTTAGTGATGTGACTTGATTACAACCTGATATTTATTTATTTATTTATTTATTTATTTATTTATTTATTTATTAGGTTTTCAAACAAGACATACATGTACATGTACGTTCGCGTCTACACGTCTACATTTACTATCGTTTACTGTCATTTACTCCATTCTGCAATGTACGCACGTAACTTCATCAATGTAAACTACTTGGACACAATAACAACATAACATAACTTTGTTTTTTTGTCCAAGATGTAAATAACTTCTGTGTATATGCAGGCGTAAATAACGCCGATTTTTGCCTGCAAACTTTGGATAATGTTTGTCAACCATACAGTAATGGTTTCTATCAAGTACAAGACAGTTATCAGGCAGAATCATTCATGAAATGCCCAAATAAATCATACACAGTATAAAATAAGAAGGGTTTACTTGTAAAACTCTTTAACATTATTTCATCAACTTTTGCCGAGTTCTTAATTGACGGGGTGGTGTGTGTGTGTGTGTTTTCTGGGATTAATCGCTACGAAATAAATATATAATCTTAGGTTCCTGTCAGAAGCCTTCGTAATCAAAACTAAATGAATGTAACATGAAAATAACAAAACATCTAGTGAAATCATAAATTTATGTCAGATAATGCATTAGTAGGCCTAATGTAAATTACCCGAGTATTGCGTAAAAACGATCTAGTAGAATAATAAATTGCTGAAAGATTGTGTACTGTCGTTTTAAAAAAGTGCATTTTATGTACTGAGTAATATACTGAGCAATAGTGTACATGTACCTGTATAGGATCTATCGGTATTTGGATCTAAAAATACGTGGATCTATAGGTACGCGGATTTAAAGGACGTGGGTTTATGAGGACGTCGTATCTATAGGAACGCAAATATATGGGACGGTGGTAAAAAATCGGACCTATCGGTATTTAAATTTAAAAAGACGTTTTTTCAGTTTTTCTTTTATGTATCTATCGGTAACGGGAGTACAGGGACGTGTAATATTTTGGGACTAAATTTTATCCGTACGTACCCAAAATCAATTATCGTATGGCATTTTTATACAGGCAATTGACCTACTTTAGGCCAGCGCAGTTATCGGCGCTATTTGACAGTTTTATGCCTTGGGCGTGAAAACGTGATTCACGTCTGTGAAATAATAAAGTTATTGATATTGGTTTGACTAATAAACAGCGCGTGTCGATCAAATCTTTCAAAGTTTTTTAGTGTAAGGGGGCATTGCTTTTCATGGAAAATGAAAAATGTGCTAACAACTCAAAACCAAGAAAAAAAGTGCATTTTTCTCTTATATGCAAATTGGATTGCCTTGAGTTATAAACTGGCCAGAAGTGATCCGTAACGAGGCTGGTGCAAGCACAATCTAAATGACGCTGCAAAAGAAGTCAGCGGAAAGGCAATTTAGGGAGATTTTAAAGAGATACAAAAAAATCAGAATCACCGGAAATATGAGAAAGTTATCAGAAGTGGATTCCAGTGTGTTTAATAAAGATTTTCAAATTAAGATTTAGTCTGTAAACGTACAAAGCTGAGAATAATTTTAATTTGCACCTTTTAAGTT